GTTTTCCCCCTATAAATGCAGCTGATCATTCCTATGATTTTTTAAAAAAATCTGCATTTATTTCTTACAATCCACGACATTAAATTTAATTGGAATATTCATCCTGCAAAATAAACATTCCTGTCCTGCGAGTACCACTGATTTTGACTTGTCAGATGGTACTGTGGATCATAGGTTTTGTTAAGAAAAATTACAGTACTCTAATATTCTTTAAATACAGGCAGTAAAGACTGTAAGCTCCAAACTCAATTATTTTTATATAATTCTTAACCAGATCTCAGTCAACTGCCCAGGTGACATTTTATAATGCTTATGGCTATCACAGTTGGCCCTTCATAGTTTTACATAAAGGTCACAATAGAAATTATTTGCTTGACGTCCCCACTTGACTTGCACTGTACGTACACAGTGTTCTGTTCAGATATCTTCGTTTCTACATGGCAAAAGGCCTAGATTGTGAGGTCAACTTACACTTTGACTATTTTGTTAAAGTGAAAATGCAAATTAATTTTTTTGTGTGAATCCATCTGGCTTTCACATTCTTCTGGGTCAGAGACACCTAATTCAAGCTATTATAATTTACACCATTGAATGCTACTTTGAATTATACAAGGGGTACTAATCATTTATAATATTTATTTACAATATATCAGTGGTTCTCATCATATCAAATCTCAATGTGTCATTTAGTTGAGAGCTGCCGCCAAAGCCTTTGCTTAGCCTTTTCAACTTATTTTTGGTTTGCTATATTGTTTAGCAGGAATTTTTTTTGAACGCTAACCTGGTGTGAAGAGCACTACATAAATGCAAGGTGTTGTCTGCTAGTTCTGCACATTGTCAGTTTACAGAGAATAACTAAAGTAAGGGACAGCACTGGTAGGCTCTTCCAACTATGAATGTTTGTATATTTAACTATATATGCTTTGTATATATTTCAGTACAGAACTCTATTGAATTATTTTTCTACTTGCATGTAGTTTTTAATAACTTCATTTGACTTTTTCAAGTTTCTATAGAACATTTCTATTCAGGGTTGAAGCTGTATTGAACAATTTTACATATTATGTATAAAGTATTCAAGTTTATAAACATGTTAATTACTATATATAATCCTAATATGTAGTACTTTCTATGCTGAACTTTTTTGGTTCCAGAGATGTACCAACTTATGAAATGCAGAATTTTGTTTTTTGTTTATTTTTTTTGGTCAACCGGTTGTCTTAACACATGTGGAAACCTATCACCGTGCTTAAGAGTAATCAAACCAAACTGTGATTTCCATGCATCCCACCTACATATGGAAATTCCAGAGATAGATTGTTGGAATGTAATGTGCACTCTCCCTGGAGGGATGCAGGCTGCTTACCTAATTCCAGAAAGAATTAGGCACAAGTTGGCAAGAGCCAAGGCTTGGGGTACTGCTGGAGTCTAACCAGCTAAAACTGTATAGCGTGCCATTGATAGCACTGTATGCAAGCTTTTCCACTGCTTGTCCATCTAGGACCACCTACCTATTAGGGATTTGGCTTGCAGGGTTAACAGGAGCTGAGTGGGAGGATTCCCTGCCTGCAGTGGCTGGTCTGCCCTTCCAAGACCTGCCGATGAGTTAAACTGGCTGTGCTGTCATCAGCAGTGCCCTGGAGTACTGCGGATGCACCTGGCTCAGAAACCGGAATGCCACAGAAGGTTGGCTCGATTCTGACATTCAGTTGCCAAACGTGTCACCTTCGGTTCCAAGGAGACTCCACTTACTGATCCCCCAAGGAGTATCGTTATTAGCTTGTTTGACATCCGACAAGCATGGGTTTGAGTCCTCACTAGGTGGATGGTAGATTCCAGGAACGCCCTGTGAGATTGCCGGTGTGTAGCACAGCTTTAATCCTTACATTTGATATAGCGCTTTTCATGTCTTCTAGACGTCTCAAAGTGCTTCACAGAATAGACAATAAAGTGAATTGACTGGATATTTGTGGGCGAAATGCGGCAGCCAATTGCACACAGCAGTGTCCCACAAACAGTTGTGGATTGAAATGACCAATTTATTTTTATTTTGAGGGATTATTATCAGCCATGTGGAGTAAGGAAACTTGCCCAAGGTTTCATCCTGCCAGGAATCAAATCCAGGTCTCTCGCTTGCAAAGCGAATGCTCTAACCACTGAGCTACAGGACTCTAGAGCTCAGCAATAACTAATTTAATTTTTTAAGTTAGGCTTGCAATGAATCCTTTGACATGAAGAGCAAATGCTTTGAGCCCTCTTAAATATATTGAAGGTACCAAACTACCCAGCATTATTTAATAACACCCATATGTTCAGAGCCAAATGAAAAGAGCAGTTCAGATTTAAAAAATGCATTGTTTATATTTTCTCCATACAAAATACTTGCCACCAAACTTGTATTACTGTATAAAATGGGATCTTGACACTGGTGTTGGAGTTTTATTCATAAGTTAATGTATTTTTTTTTAAAAAGAGCCCTTCTCATATAGGTTGATTCAGATGAACACAATTATTTGTGGCTTGTTTTGCATTTTAGAATTGAAGGTCAGTTAGGGGTGCATCGTAGGTTCACCAGAATATTATCAGGCTTAAAGGGGTTAAGTTACGAGGAACGTCTGCGTAAACTTGGATTGTATTCCTTTGCGTTTAGAAGGTTGGGAGGCGATTTGATTGAGGTATTTAAGATGATAGAGAGATTCAATAGGGTGGATACGGAGAAGCTTATTTCCTCTGGTGGGGGAATCCAAAACAGGGGGTATAGTCTTAAAGTTAGAACCAGCCCATTTAAGAGTGAAATCAGGAAGCATTTTTTCACTCAAAGGGTGGTAGATATCTGGAATTCTCCGCCAAAAGGCTCTGGATGCTTGGTCCATCCACATCTTCAAGGGTGAGGTTGATAGATTTTTGGGAGATCAGGGTATTAAGAGATATGGGGAGAAAGTGGGAAATTGTAATTGAAAGGATTAGTTGAGGTACAGATCAGCCATGATCTAATTAAATAGTGGAACAGGCTCGAAGGGCCAAATGGCCTCCTCCTGTTCCTACGTTCCCATCTGTCAAAGTTAACCTTTAGAAGTTAATAATAATGGCTTTATTTTCAAAAGTCATAATTATTTGATTCTTAATGCGTTCTGTGTATATCAAGTCCATATATACTACTGTAATATAATTTTAATCAGAAATACATGTTGAATATTGTAGTATATTTTCACTTATAGAAATGCACATTGAATACTGTGAACAGAAAAGAAAGGCTTTGTACAGAATGTTAGATAGTGCCGAGGGGAAAGAAAATGGGGTCTCCTTAAAGCTGAACTGTTTCCAAGATGACGTGTTTGGCAAAGCAATGTCAGAATCGAGCCTAACCTATGGTGGTCTTGGTATCGAATTCCTGAGCAGTAAGGGTCTGTCATACACCAGAGGGACTGCTGATCACAGCATAGTTAGCACGTCTCATCGGCAGCACTTGAAAAGGCAGAACAATCAATCACTGGGGGCCTGGATGCTTCCCACTCAGATCCTCAATGCACACTCTGGGGTTCCCAAGCCTTGGCTGTTGTCAATCTGTGCCTAATACTCTCAGCAATTAGGTAAGCTGGATGTGTCCCTCCAATAAATATCTTGGGAATTTTCATGTATAGGGGATTCATGGGATACTGCTTGGTTGGTATACTCTTAAGCATGGTGATGAGTTTCTGCGAGTAACAGACATATTGCTGACCAAAAAATCGTGAAGCTAATCACTTTTCTTCTGTTTGGAAATGTGGAAGTATATTCTCTTGTGCACATGCATATTGAAGTATAGCAGACTAATAAATGCAATATGGCATTTGATTTAACGGATAGTTGGCTAGCAAATTACAAGGTGGTTGCACCTTTGTTACAAAATACAGTCTTGCTACACTTCACAGTAAATTCCTGTGAAGCACTGTGAGACGTTTTAATGGTGTGGTTAGGCACTTTATCAAATGCAAAGATTATTATAAATTGCAAACTGAGTTATGATTCGCTTAAAGTATGGTGAATCTGTATGGATTTCTGAAGGACTATGGCAGCATTTTAGATTTGGAAGTAAAATTTTAATTGGAATAGATGTACAAATTTACATTTTACGATTGCTTTTGAAAATCTACAGAATACCTTTTGAGAATTTAATTCTGTAGTTTGGTAAATACTTTCAGGTATTTAGGAAAATTCAACTATTGATGTAGTTAATGTTTCAAAGTGTTTCATACGATTTCCTGTAAATTGTAGTGATTGTATTTTGTAAGCAAGTATAGCAGTCAATTTCCAAGTCCCGAGATGGGGCTGGAACTTCCAAACATCTGATTCTGAGACGAGACTGCTTCCAACTGAGCCACGCTGTCATCTAATGCAATTTACAATTCAATAAATATCTTACCAAGATCCAATGTGGAGTCCTGTAGCTCAGTGGTTAGAGCACTCACTTTGCAAGCGAGAGACCTGAGTTCAATTCCAGGCAGGTCAGGGCGAAACCTTGGGCAAGTTTCCTTACTCCACACGCCTAATAATAATCCCTCCAAAACCAAAAACAATAATAAATTGGTCATTTTCAATCTACGACTGTTTGTGGGACATTGCTGTGCGCAATTGGCTGCCGCGTTCGCCCACAAATATACAGTCAATTCACTTTACAGTGTGTTCTGTGAAGCGCTTTGGGACGTCCTCCTGACGTGAAAAGCGCTATATCAAATGCAAGGATTATTATTATTATTATTATAATGTTTGTGTCACAGTAAATGGTGTTAAAGTGAAAGTCTGTAATCAAGTTTTTAATTGAAATCAGTTGTCTAAGGGTTATGTAACAACTTTCCTATATGTAGTGTATGTGTGTGTATATATATATATATAGACACATACACACACGCGATTTGATGTCAAATAAGCTATTCTAAAGTTAGTTTGAAAATTCTATATAATAACTTCTATATAAAATTGTTTCTTATCCTATAACTGATTATTGCCCTTTTTATTTACAGAATTCATCCACATCTCAACCAACAATTCAATTCCAGGGTCTCCAAGGCGTAAGTAAAACCATTTTTAGATAATAATAAGACGACAAAAATTTGTTTAAAATGTTTGAGCAATAAACAGGTTGGAAAATGAGAGTTGAGCTCCGACTTTGCTTTTTGATGACTTGCTGTACCCGTTGCAGCTACGCTTGCAACCAGTTTAATTTAATCGGCTTTCTGTTTTTCATTTGGCATTTTTATTAGTCCTTGAAAGGCTAGATCTTTGCTTCTTAGCTATCTTTATCCCTTAAGATTAAGAAAATGTACTATTGAACTGGTTAGCATCCCTTGTTCATGTATTGCTCCCAGCGAGAGCGCCCCCAGCGGCAGCCCCCCCCCCCCCCCCCCCGGCGTGTGCAAATATGTGAACAAGGGATGCTAACGAGTTCAGTAACACATTTTCTTAATCTTAAGGGATAAAGATACCTAAGAAGCGAAGATCAAACCTTTCAAGGGCAAATAAAAATGCCACATGAAAGAGAGAAGGCCAATTAAATTAAACTGGTTGCAAGGGTAGTTGCAACGGGTACAGCTAGTTAATAATAATAATAATCCTTGGATTTGATCTTTGATATCTTTGAGATGTCTCAAAGCGCTTCACAGAATATACTGTGAAGTGGATTGACTGTACATTTTGTGTTGCGCACAGCAGTGTTCCAGAAACAGTCGTGGATTGAGTGACCAATTTATTTTTGAAAGAATTATTACCCCCGGAAAAAAATCGGCAATCGACCAACAACTGGATTCCTATTTACTGCTACATTTCGCCCTGCTGGGAATCGAGCCCATGTCTTGCTTGCCAGGCGAGTGCTCTAACCACTAAGCTATAGGGCTCCACCCTTAAGCAAGGTGATGCGTTTCCGCATGTCTCGGACACCCTGCTGACCAAATTCCGTACATATTTTCAATAGTGCCATGGGGTCTTTAAGCTTCACCTGAACGGGTAGATGGGATCTCTGTTTAACGTCTCATCTGATGACTAAAAGAGAACACGCTAAATAGCTCTACAGTATTTTGAAAATTTGCAGTCTGTGCCATTTTGGATTGTTTTAAAATAGAAAAACTGCAAAACCTGGAAGTTTCCCAGTTGACAAACCCAAGATACCTATTGGTTTGCAGGCTATTAACTTGCAATTGCAAAATCTATGCCTATTCCCGTAAATATTGTCGTTTCAGGTGTGAGGAATGGTGAGTTAGGAGTGCAGTACAAGGAGCAATTGTATTCATTGTTTGTCTTACTGGTCTTGTTTGGCACACTGGTTATTTCTCTGAACACCATTTGCTCAGATGCTTAAATTACTGTTACTGGAGAAAGTAAATTGTACAATCGAATTTTACTCTATTTTAATGTTATTTTGACCATTGGCATCAATCGTTGAACTTTTAAGATTAAAGTTTTTTGTTTTACTGTAACCTGAGCTTTGATTTAGTATTCTACATCATCCAAAAAAAACTATTTCAGCCTGCTTCAGTTGAGAAATTTATAGCACTTCATGTTTATTTAACAAATTAATCCAGCCACATCTTCCAATTTTCCAATATCCTGGCCAGTAATCCTCCAAATTAAATGATGATTCACCTCTTGGCTGTTTGTGGGATCTTGCTGGCATAAAGGGATGCTTTGGTTGCCTACAAAAACAGTGGTTATACCTGACAGTAATTATAGAGGAGCCTTATTTGAACATGGTGTTTCGGATCCATAAATTCCTAAATTCTCTCCAGTGAAGTGTAATAGTAGGATTTGCTGTACATGCACGTAGACAACCTTCTTGCTTTCTGCGCATATTCGCGCACTAAACGATTTCCAGTTCATTGGGTCACCACCAAAATCACTTGCTGTTTTATGTGCAAGGAAGGAAGTGACATTGGTTACCTGATGAACCAGAAGATGTTTTTTTTTAAAAGTGTGGAAAACTATAAACAACTGACTTCCAGATCATTTGATCCTTTCCAATGTCACTTCCTCCTTTGCACTTGATCTAGAAATGAGCCATTTAAGCACAAAAAGCCAGTTAAGCAGTGAATGGATTTGGACAATGCAGCCATATTGTAAGCAATTTTGTGCTAAAGTGAAACGCCCTTTAGTGGGGCTGCTCTGTACTTGTTGAACTTTGTGACATTTTAGTAAATGGAAGATCTTTTGTAAATGAAAGATTTTTTAAAATTTAATTTGATATGGCTATGCATCATCTTGTTTTGGTCAACTGGGTGTGTGACACAAGTGAAAAACCATCACAGTGCTGAAGAGTATCCAAACCAAACTGAGATTTCCATGTATCCCAGCTACACATGGAATTCCCTGAGATAGATTGTTGGAATGGAATGTGCACTCTCTCCCTGGAGGGACGCATCCTGCTTACCTAATACCGGAAAGGATTAGGCACAGGTTGGGGACCCCAGAGTTTTGGAGTCCAGCCAGCTACAACTGCATAACTTGCCATTGATATCGCTGTCTGGCAAGCTTTCCCGCTGCTTGTCCAGCTTGGACAGAGCAGGCAATATTTTCGAGGTGGAAAAATTGTACCATTTTGTTTTGTGCATCTCGTAATTACTCATATTGTCTGAAAAAAGTTGCTCACTTTGACTTCTCCATTTGCTTCCAGTCACCAAATTTCATGGATCCTTACCCTTTAATGCCTAAATGTGAAATGGTTGTGCTTGAATGTGCCAATTTTCTGTTTGGAAAGACTTCTATAATATCCTCCATTCTCCTCAATTTAATCAGAAGTAAAGTTTAAATATGTCCTAATTTCTTGCTGAATGTATTACAAAGAATATTATCTTATGTATGAAAAGTGTGGTTGGCATGTGTGATGACAATGGAAATCAAAGAGCTCATTATTTATACATGCTTTCTTATGTATTGTAAGTGGTGCAAAAGATGGCAGTGCACCAAGCTGAAATAGTGTATGTCGAATGTTGATACAATAGTGCATACAAATACTGTTTTGCACCATGGGTATTTGCAAGCACATTGTGCTTTGTACTGTCAGTAAAAGATGTTCCCTATATTTATAGAATTCAGAAAATGACCTATTGTATTTGGAATCTACAAATCTATTGATATTTTGAAAATTGACAAACTGATGTGTTTGAATATCGGTTTGGGATGTAATTTAGCCTGGATTAGAAGACCTTCTCAATTTCTTTAATTGAATAGTTGAAAGAAGCACCTTGTGATCCATCACCATAGACCCTCTCTGTGAGCTTTTCCTTTCCCAGAAATGGACTGAGGTTAAAAGTGTGATCCTGTTAAAGCCCCTAATGGACTATTGTGATTGTTTTAAAGCAGAGTTGCCAAATGCTATACCTGCAACTGTAAACTAATCTTTTTAGATTAAATATTTACATGATGGCAGGGGGGTGAGTAGTACAGTGGGCCAGATACTGCCCTTTCACCAAAGTGAGTTCAAAGCTACTGATAGGCTTAAAAAAGGAGGGAGGGGCTTTGAAGATTTACAAGTGGAGTGCCTCAGAGGTTTATACAGACAATAACAACTTACATGTATATAGCTCCCTTCATGCAGAGTAGCAACTCGGAGCCCTTAGCAGTGGAGGAACCTGATGTGGAACTGGAGGGAGGGAGGCGGTAACCGTAACATAGCGCCCTTCACGTTTGGGAGGAGGCTGTCCTGTTGCCACCAATGCATCACTAACCCCAGAGATTACCCCAGAGTAAATTTATCTTGTATTGTCTTAACACAAAGCAAATTGAAGCTACCTGATAAAATTGTTAGAGCTGTTACGATAGTTGGAGGCCCATTTAGCTTTGTAAACTACTTGAGTTTTGCTCTCGTAGTTTCGTAACCTCAATTCTTTTTAACATTCTGAGTACTTTAATAGGAAACAGAAGGTTCTGGGTTCACATCTTTTGGGGGGTTGAGGGAAGGAACATTGGAATAGGAGTAGGCCATTCAGCCCCTCGAGCCTGTTCTGCCATTCTATAAGATCTTAGCTGATCTGTACCTCAACTTGCCAATTATCTGCCTTTGCTCCATATCCCTTGATACCCTTACCTAACAAAAATCTATCGGCCTCAGTCTTGAAAATTTGAATTGATCCAGCATCCACAGCCTTTTGGGGAGCGAGTTCCAGATTTCCACTACACTTTGTGTGAAAAAGTGCTTCCTGATTTATCTTAAATGACCTGGCTCTAATTTTAAGTTTATGTCCCCTTGTTCTACATTCCCCTACCAGAGGAAATAGTATCTTCGTATCTACTACCGTATCGAATCTTTTTATCATTTTAACAAGGGTTGTGGCTCAGCAATGAGATGCAAGGGAAATCACCTTTTATCCTTCAAAGGCGAAGTCTTAATATGAAAGGGTGGGCGGCAGTAGTGGGCTGCCATTTTTAAAAAAATGAATGCCATTCAATAAAGTTGTGTGGTATACTATTACATTTTAAGAGTAATTTTAAGTCTATCAAAGTCTTCTATTAAAGAAAGAAATATTCCTTGACGACCTGCATAAATCTATCAATTTTATTGACAAAATGAACTGAAGTATGTATCCAGTTGTTGGATTGAAATGCTAGGCTTTTGTAATGCTTTTAATGGGCTGTCTTCATTGCGCCTCAATCATTTGCTGTCTTCAATACAGTACTGTTTTACATTTTGGCAGCAGAATTGCTGGATTGTCTTCTGCTCAGCCAGCACTCTCCACCTAGATGAATTGATTTTTGGTGCCAGAACCACCAGAATGTTTGTTCTCTTCTTACTTTTAAAATTGGAACATATATTAAACTCATTTAATTGTTTTGAGATGCCACCAAGCTTTTTCTTGTTCGTTAACAAAAAACACATTTACATAGAATGAGAATAAATCAGATTGTATGCATAGCACCAAAGTCCATGGAATTCATTTGGACTAGGGTGAAAAATTCCATAAACAGACTTTGTGTTGTGCATAATTTGCAAAGTACAGTTGCAGAAGAAGAATTCCAGAAAAATATATGCCAAACCCTATGTTAGATGTCTCAATCAATGTAAGGGTATGAGCAGAGGCAACAA